TTTGTAATACATCTTAATTTTTGTTGATCAATAATTAAGTAATTACGAATTTTTTTGATGAAATGGTAACATTATATAAGAAAAATAGGAGTTATATACCCATTTCGATGATATGTTTTCAGAGTATATGATTGGGGTATATAACTTCAGTAATATTATATAAGAAAAATGGGAGTTATATACCCATTTCGATGATACATTTTCAGGGTAGGTAACTTCAGTAATATGACAGAGCACTTCACTTTTTGATGATATTAAACATGAGCTCAATCGATTTGATAGCAAATCTGATAACATTTATGGGATATATATCGATAAAATGCAACTAAGACGTAACTAGAATGCAATTTGACAACATACCTGATAATATATTCAGGCCCTTTAGGGATGTCTCTTCGAGACATAGCAATTACGTGACATATACTTGATAGTATATACTCCTCACTCGAATGACGACGATGACTAACTTTTGTTATCAGACCACATGCTCACTGTCAACTCGAGTAGCATAACCTACCTCAGATATTTTATTGCAATAGAAATTAGTTGGGAATGATAAGTCAGCATATGGTATCAAATGACGTATAAAATACATTCGACCCATCAAACTCATGATGGAGCCAATCTGAGTAGCATAATCTGTAACGGGGTGTCTTATACTTGAAATCAATCAGAATCGCCAAATTGATATACAGGTGCGATGACGATGGCTAACTTTTGTCATCAGATCACATATCTGACTGGGAATAATTCACAACTGACTCTCCCCCTAGCATAACCTACCTCAGAAAGCTCCTTATATTCGAAATCAGATATAACCACCATATATTATACAATTTTTGATACCGAATTTAAAAATCTAGAAGTTTTAAAACATTATACAGAGTAGTCACCTATCAACTAGCATAACCTAAATCGGAGAACATCTTGATTTTAAAATCAGCTATGATCACTAAATTGATATACATTGTGTCATATGCGATCTGACAACAGAAATCAGTCAGGATCACTAATCCAATATATAATAGTTCGAGTGTGGCCTAAAAAACAAAACACATGTCATTCGAGTGCAGCCTAAAAAACAAAACACACGTCATTCGAGTGCAGCCTAAAAAACAAAACACACGTCATTCTGGAGAGGAAATAACCTAGACTAAGTGGAAACAACATAATTATATTGTTTCCACTTTACTTAATATATTGCAACACCAATTAACTCTGATTCAGATCCGTTAGATTGGTGGTGCCATTTTAAGAGAGATTTTCCAGTTCTTGCAAATATAGCATCCTGTTATTTAAGTATATAAGATTCAAGCGTACTCTCAGAACAGGCATTTTCTATAACAGCAAATACAATAACCAAAATTCGATGCAACTTAAAACCAGATACAGCACGTGCAGTAATGTGTTTGAAAAGTTGAATTCAGCAAGTACGTGACAAAAATATAAAAGAAATTGATATTGAAGCTTTTATTCTTTTAGAATCATAAATTATAAATTGATTTTTTTATTTTAGAATACGAGTATGAAACTTGTTTATTAATAAAAGTATTTTATATATAGTTTTTATCCAGTCAAATCCATTACATGTGACTTTTATAAGTACTCCGGAGTAGCTGGTTTCACTCCACGCCACTCACTCCATTAGCAACCCTATTTGAACCATGTCTTGTCTATCAATTGGTCTCTGGTTACAAAATCACGTGAATTCCTCGTTAATGTTAATGAAATTTCGAGTTACGACTCACGATATCTTGAAATTTGATTACCTATTCATTAGTAAATCGAGGTCTGACTGTATTCCGTTCCCACATTATCAAAATATTATAATTTCTCTAGGATGCCAGGCGAACAACAATTTCGCGATACTCTAAATTCATTAGGCTGGGGTTCAAGCAACACAAGAAGTAATGGAATTAGCCTTCCCACCAGCAATAACGGAAACTCTACACCATTTTCGCGACTTACAGAAACCACCTCAAGTTTCTTTGGAAGTGTTGGTAATCGAGTGCAAGGATATATCCCGTTAGTAAATAACCAGGAAGAAGAAAGCTTGTTTACTTTGAATAGATGGCAGGTGAGTTTTTAGCATTTTTGTGTTAATCGGTTTTTTTAATAAGATATATTTTTACTATATTTTAGAGACTTACTGGATTCGGAGTTCTTCTGCTGTCGGGTGCACTATGTTTTGTCCTTGTAGGTGTTAGCTACTAGATAACTAGATTTATTTTCGAAATTAACGTTATTTGAAATTTATGACAAAACAAGGCATTCTTGACAATACCTCTATTACCAATAAAACCAAGAAAATTTGCAGTCACATATACAATGGGAAGTCTTCTAGTACTAGCAAGGTAGGTTAAATTGTTGAAAGATAATCTCTTGAACTTATACAACGATTCAATAAACAATAATTCAATCAATTTTGAAGTTTTTCCATGCTTAAAGGACCAATCGAATATCTTAAACATATTTTTTCGATGGAACGGCTTGCATTCACACTTGCGTATCTAGGGTCAATGATTGCTACCTTGTATTTCGCTGTTGTGGTAACTATGAATAAATCACCGAATTGAGTATTAATTATTTAACTATTTGATTATTTTATTTAATCTAATCTAATTTTTTTTTAGCTACACAGTTACATTCTAACCATAATCTTCAGCATTATACAAGTGGTCGCGCTTATATGGTATTTATTTTTATTTTTACTTTTATTAATGGTTTCATTATATTTATAATGCCGTCGACAATCAGGTATTATACAAGTGGTCGCATTTATATGATATTTATTTATATTTTTATTGTTATTAATTGTTTCATTACATTTATAATGCTGTCGATAATCAGGTACGTTGTATCCTATTTCCCGGGTGGAGTTAATACTCTACAAATGGGTACTCGTATGTTTGCAAATCAAGCTTCCAATATTTTGCCATTATAAATTCTAAAATGGATGGATGGGTGGGTGGGTGGATATTGGGGATTAAATATTTTTTCCTCGTAAGCAAAATTAATTGTACAATAGTTTTATTTCGTATCTTTAAATTGCAAAGAGTGATGTAGATTTTGTTATTGAACATTTTCATTTTTATTATTCAGAAGCTTCATAATTAATATAAAACATTTATTATTTATAGAAATAATTAATAGAAAGAAATGGGGACTAGAGTGAAAGAGAGGGTAATGTGTTACATGGATAATATTCTATGTGTAATAAATCAAATCATGAAATTACACAAATAATTTCTTTCCCCTTTCGTTTAGAACATGACTTAATTTTCCACCCCTAGTCTCTAAAACTCTTCGAGCGTAAGAGATCGCATCACTTGCAATATTAGGGGATCCCTCAACAGCAAGGAACCTCAATTTGTCACACCTCGCACGCGCCAAATAGGCAACTCCGCTTCCCGTAATCATTGGACAGTTTGAGATATAAAGTTCCCGCAAGTTTATTAAATTATCCGCGATAGACATCAAGGATATATTTGTGATGTTTGGATTCTGAGAGATGTCAAAGATTTCGAGGGAACCGCATAAACCACCAAGAGTAGTATTACCAATAAAATTCACTCCTTCGTCCGTCAATCTTGGGCATTGTCCTACAAGCAATACCCTCAGATTTTCACAATTTTCACTGATATGACGTAGGGTCTGATCGCTTAATTGGATATTTCCTTGTAGATCCAAAATTTCAAGTTCATGCCATGCTTGAGTCAACGATTGGATGGAAGAATCGGTCAGTGAAGTGAAAAAAGAGAACTGGAAATCTCTAATGCGCAAACATGAATTCACAAAAGAAGGAAAAGATTCGTCGAATGGCCGCATAACATTATATTCATTTTTTAATAATCTCAGTCGAGTCGATTCCAATTCTGAGAAGTTGCTGAGACCATCGAAAATTCTAGGCGTTAATTCTGGATTATCGCGCAAATCAAGTTTAACCAATTTCGGAAATAATAAGAACAAATAATCGAGCGTATTATTACTGACAGCAGGACATCCTTGTAGATAGAGCTCTCGCAGATTGGATACTTTGGAGTTTACTTTCTGCGGATTGAACGGATCTTCCGAAATCTTTGAGCAATTAGAAATATTTAGTGTTTCCAGAGCGGAACATGTCTCCAGAATTACTTTTACCGTTTGCGTGCTTGCCATCGTTCCCAACAAATTGATGTTGATCAAATGCAAACCCATAGATTTAAAGAACATTGTAAAACGAGTGCTGGTTATTTTCTTGTTGACAGTGATTTCAAAGTCTTCAATACGAGTGCATCGATGTTCTGCCAAGATTTTCAATGAAGAATCTGAAAGATTTATTGATTCATAACAGATTAGTGATCGCAGATGGCGATTAGCTCTCTTTGCGTAGTTGCGAAAAACCTGGTCTGTAATTCTGTTGCATATTTGATTGCTGGTGAAATCTAAGCGACACCATAACAATGGTGAAGAATTGATAAAGTTTCTCCAGTGTTTGGATACTAATGTCGCTTTGCAGAGGCTTTTTAATGGTAGTTTTCGAAGTATATCGTGAACAATTTCATTTGGAATAAGTTGAATGAAATCATAACTACGTCCAACAAAATTTCTCTGTATTAAAAGAAAATAATCTTTAACGAATTTTTAGAAATCCAAAATTGCAATAGAAGTTTACCCGTTGTTTAGCTATGTTTTTCGTGGGATTACGATTACTGTTATTCTTAGTTGATTCTAAACAGAGTTTCTGAAGGACCTATTAAGATTGAATCAAACAAGAATATTTATAAACTATTTATTACTAAAAAAAAATCCCCAAGATTAGTTACCTGATAGAGTGGACCATTCTGAATTACTTTTTGTTTGCCGTTATGTAATATTTCTTGAGCTTTCGTGTGTTGATTCAGTTGTTTCAAAGCACGGATAGCTCGAATATACCCCTAAACAATTACAGAATATCTTGCCAATGTTCGATGTAAAAAATAAGACTATTGCAAACGATAATCACTTTTGCGGATGTTTCTTCCAATTCAATCATCTTTAATGCGTCTTGATATGCCAAATCGGGGTTTTTTAACTTCTCGCGTACAGAGCAACGAAACTCGTAGATAAGAAAAATATCTGGGTCTTTTGCAATTGCCTTTAGTTATAATGTCAATTGTCAAAATATTAAAATTTAATTTTTTATACTTGCGAAAAAACCCGATTTTCACCTTTGTGAAATATATTTCAGCATTTTCAAAGTTGCCTTCCTTGAATGCGTTTATGCCTTTTTCGTAAAAATTATCATCTACTTTATTGTTTTTTTTGTCTAAGCGACTTGGATTATAGGTCTCATTCTCTTTGTTTTCTTTATAAGAGCGGTTGGGATTATAGGCCATACTTTAGGCTCTTTGAAAATAAAAGTATTGCTTTAATGTGGAAAAACAACGCGTGACGTAAACACTTTTTCGCCAATCACAGTTCAAAATTTTTTGACTAGGAAATAAAATTTCTGAATCTTTTCCCGATGAGAAATTTTGCTTTCGAGCAAAGTTGTTCAAGTATTTTTTTGATAAAAAAATTTCTACCCGAATTATATCGGAAAAATCATAGAGCAACGTTCTTTGGATTTTTGTTCGAGCGTAACTATACGTGTGCTCTTACACCGCCGCTATTTCATGAGCAGCAACACTATCCATGCAAAGAATTTTCAACAACCTATAATGAATTAAAAGTGGGGATTGTGCCGATATATGGAAATTTTATATCATGGAAAATTAAATTACAATTAATCACTCGTCCAATTCCCTCTGAACTATGGGATCTTTTAGAAATTCTTCCCGATAATGAAAATTATCTATACAAATATTTAAACAATAAAGATATTCATCTAATATTTTTGCTAATAAGGAAACTTCCTCAAATCAAACAAACGCAATTGGACAATAAATGTACGAAAATCTGGCGAGAACTACGGAAATTTCGAAAACCATTTACTGAAAAATCGTACAACTCCCTGTTATTGAAAGGACCGAATTCATTGCATCAAGAAATTCTTGATGAAATGGTATCTCATAATTGTATGCCGAGTATTGAGGCATTTTCACGTCTAATTGAAGATTCTTGTCGCGCACAAGACACATTTCAAGCAAGACATTGGTTTCGAGTAATGCATGAATCGAAACAAAGTCCAAATGCGCGAATATATAATCTACTTATTTATACTCATACGAATCTCACACAGGAATTAACATTCGCAAGATATTTCTTGGGAAAAATGAGTGATGTTGGTCTGTTACCTGTTCAATCAGTCGTTCTTGATTTTGTGCGACAATCTATAAATTCTAATCAGTCAGAAAATGTAGATTGGGCTTTCGAAAGATTTTTTAATGATAAAAAAGGATTTCAGGCAACAATTGACATTTATCATGTATTACTTGAAAGCTTTGCCAAACAATCTTCTTTTGAATCGGCACAAAAATATTTCGATGATATGACTAAAGTGAAAAAATTGGAACCGAATGAGATGACTTTTCAATACTTGATCAATGCTTATGTTGGTGACGATAATTGGGATGAAGAAGATTCGAAAAATGGAAATATTTCACAATCAAGCAGATTGCAAAAAGCTTTAAAAACATTTAAAGAAATGAAACCGATGCACAGTATTATAGCCACACTTGAAACTCATCTCCTATTAATCCAAAGGATATTATATCCTTCAAAATTTCTAAATACCAATGATATTGATTTTTCTGATTTCAATTACCTAACAAAGAGTCTACTCGAGGACATCCCGCGAGGTCGCTGGGAAAAGATTTCCGATTCGTTGTTTATCGATATTTTTTCGATTCTTGCCAACCATAATTTTATTACACAAGCGCACGCAATCTATTTCGAATTACGCAAAAGGGACAATTCTTTTGCGTTGGAAAACGGAGCATCCATACTGATCAAGAAACATTGTAAAGCCAGAGATTTATTTTCCGCATTGCAGATATATTATGATTTAAGTTCTGTGGGCATAAAAGCAGAATTAGATGCCTACGCAAGCATAATGCAAGAATATAATTATCGTAATGATCCGGATGGAGCAATGAAATTTTATGAATTTACAGCTCTAATAAATCCCATATTTAACAAAGATTTCTATCAAGCGTTACTTGAGGTATGTGTTTACAATAGGAGAACAGAATACGCACTGGAGGTCTTGAAGGATCTGATTAGACGCAGTTATAGACCAGATGTTTATATGTACAATATCACCCTTTATGGACTCTTTAAAATGCGAGATTGCAAATCTGTTAAACTTTTATTTCAAGATATGCAGAATCGTAGAATTCGTCCATCTGTGGCCACATACAACATTCTTGTGCAAGGATATGGAAACGTGATGCATGATTTGTCTGAAGTTATCACTACTTATCGATCAATGATAGCTGCAAGGTGCGAACCAGACTCAAAAACATACGGAAATTTAATGATGGCTCATATTCGTCACCGTGATTTAGATGGAGCACGTAAAGTATTCAACGCAAACGTCGCTGCAAAAAAACCTGTTGATATTCGAGCAGCATGTGACCTAATGAAAAGGCTCGCCGAAACTTATGATATCGATTTTTGTTGGAAAGTCTATCGTCAATTAAAATTAGAAAAGAAATTGTGTAAAGAGATTTTTCAGGTTGCTCTCTACGTGGGTTATCTTGCACATGACGAGGAGAAAATCAAAGATGTATTATCAGAATTGCATACGCAAGGAGTAAAAATTGATGCTGGTATTATAAAGTATCTTGGGCTTCAAAAGTATCTCGGGCTTCAAGACAAAAAGATTCTAATCGATGAAAACTTTACTTGGTTGTCGAATTTGTTATCTTCGAAAGAATATGTTTTATGAGTAGTTTGTAATATGTATTTTGGTTATTCTTATTTTTTCAAATATATTGATTGGACATAATAGGTAACTAAGCATTTAAAGAACTAATGAATCTAATGACTGGATCAATAACAAATAGAACATTATTCCTATTTACAAATTCCTATTTAGAAACATAATTATCACTCTTTAAAGATGCTTGCCTAAATTATTTTTTGAAATTTGATCTACCCAGTATAATAAATATCAGAAACATCATTTTTCTTGCTGGTGATATTGTACGTCCGCATTCAATTAACAATTAATTAAATCAAGCTTGTTAATAATGTTATAAATTATTAAATTATTTATTATTAATAATTCTATGCAAAATCTGTTCATTTTTTTATAATTAAATTGTTGTTTCTCTTACAAGAAATATTTTATCAAATATATTTGATAAAATGGCTTTATATTACAATTTGAAATATATAGTAGCTTACAAAAGTAATATATTACTTTCAAAACTTACTAATAAAAAAATAAAATATGGATTTTTTCTCTTTATATAAAAGTTTTCAATTTTATTATTAAAGTTTTTTATTTTTATATAAAAATACAATAAATTAATTAATTTTTTTATGTGTTTTAATTATAAAAATTAATCAATTTATTTTGCAATTAGAAAAATTTCTTGGATTAAATATATTAAAATGTGAATAGTTATTTATATTTTTATATAAAATAATATTATATATTTTAATATATATTTTTTCAAATTTTTTAGATTTAATTTAATAAAGCTATTCTAATTATATATAAAATCAATTATTTTTTTATATATTTTAATTATAAAAAAAATAATTGACTTTATATATAATTAAAATAACTTCATCAAATTAAAACTAAAAAATATACATTAGAAAATTTTTATATCTGATTATAATCAATTATTATCAATTATTAATAATTGATTATAATCAATTGCAATTAGATATAATCAATGATAATCAAAATTGAATATAATTGATTTTTTGTTTAGAATTGGTGAATATTTATAATTAATAATTATTGATTTTAATTAATTTATTATAATTAATTGTAAATAATTATAATCATTTACAATTAATATCGATTACAATCAATTGTAAATGATTACCCTATCAATTAATTTATCTTTTACAAGTATATGTACAATATTAAAAAGCTTTCAAAATTTAATTCTTGATATTAATTCAATAAATATATTTTATATTATTAATATATTATTAATATAATTATAATTAAACAAATAAATAAAAAAATTATTGTACAAAAAAATACATTTAGAAGGTCTGCTTTCTAATTTGATAGTTACCAAATCTATTTTGATTTTTTTTATATTTTTGATAATAATACTATTATTTTTTTTGTTTCTCAAATATTACTTTTATTTCTTTTATTTCTTCTATCATTTTTTTTATTTCTTTTTTTTTATTTCTTTTATTGATATTTTTAAACTAGTAACTGAGAATATCATAATATATATCTATTATATTTGTAAATAATAAATTATGATTTAATGAATTTGCTTTATCTATAGCATGCAATGAATAACTATTAAAAATTGAGATTATAAAGATTCTCAACGCATTATTCTTTTTGTGTTTTAATATCATCTCTTCAAAGGTATTGATATTACTGGCATCAACTTTTGTTATTAATAATTTTTGTACTAGACTAAAAGTATATAATCTTTATAATTTCCAAATATATCCACACTATCATCTCCATCTAATATCTTATATAATAAATATGAAAGATTTTATAAGTAAATATTATCATTATCATTAAGATAAATATTTCAGGATCAAATGCAAGTTATTAATTTATGTATCTTATTCATTATAACTTCTGCTTGAAGCTTTTGGATGATAAGATAAAAAGAAGAATATTCACAGACATGATTAATCTCTTATAGTGATTATGATGTATTTCCAGTTCTTTATTATTATATTATTCTAGTAACAGCATAATTTCAGATGTATAATTACTTGTGAAATAAATGAATATCTCATCACATTCTGTAATATTTAATCTTCATTTTTCTTAATGCTTTTAAAATTGAAATCTCAAACTTATTTTCTTTAGTGATAGATAAAATAGTCATGATTAGAATTATTAATGAATTAATAGTGATAGTAATTAATTGTTAATGATCAAATTTTTGAATAAATATTTAGTGATAATATCTTGATGTCTAGTAATCTGATTCTTATAAAATACTACCATTCAATTTAGCTTGATAAAATAAATTGAATCACTAAAACATCAAAATATTATTCTTTAAATTTGTTGATTTAAGCAAAAATACTTCTATTTGATTCATTTAGTTAAAATGAATCAAATGATAGTATTTTTGTTTAAATTAGATTATGGATTATTGAAAATAAGATTATTACATATTGAGATAAAATAACTAATTGTATTTAGTACATGAGCACATAATATCTAATATAAAAGTTTAAACTATTTATAAAAGATATAAATGATCAGTATTTGTATTGTTCTTTATATTCAAAAATTCTATATATAAGGATGAAATACTTTTGCAAATTAAGATACTTGTAACCTACATATGTGAACAAATTATCTTTTTTTGCTGTCTATACATCTTCTATATTTGTCTTGATTTTTCAATATTATTTAATAATATTATATGTGAACAAATTATCTCTTTGAATTTGACAAAAGACTATATCCAAGAATTAGTTATTAATTTTTCAACATTATATGATAATAACATATATAAACAAATTATCTTTTTGAATTTGGCAAGAGACTATATTCAATATCTCAAAAATTTAGTTATAAATACTGTCATGATATGATATTTGGCAAACAATTTTATTGGATAAAAAATATATTAATTATTATTGGATTATATTTATTAGTATTTCTATTGGATAGTTATTATCTTATTGAATAATTATATGTTAGATATTATTAATTCTTAGATTTGTGTTAACACTAGTAATGTCAGCAATGACAACAATAACTTCAGGTAGGACCGTCCCATATAAGAAAATATAGTGAAGATCATTACACAATTCATTAAAGATTTTTTTTATACAGTTTACAATACTTTTTTGTGAAACCAAAATTATCTATCTTTGTAATGAAACATAAGCAAGTGCATTAAGCAAACTTGTAGCTTTCGCACCATATTTTAATAATATTAATTGAATCTACTTGAATCCAACAACCTTTATATTATAATTTGTCTAGCAAAAATATGTCTGAAAAGAAGTATTGTATGGAATGCAAAACCACTGAGTCAACTAGATTCCATTCATTGAATGGAAAAAAATGGAGAGAAACTGCAAGTAATGATCTAGTAAAGGTAACATGGATGAAAAATATTGTTTTATGTAATTCGTGTTATATGCGTCTTGTAGAAAATCCATTAAATAGAAGTATTAAATGAGTAAAAGTCACAACTGTGGAAGATATTATATTTAGAGAAGAAATAGATACTGTA